CTGTAGAACTTTGGAAGAATCTTAAATCTAGGTTTGATCATCAAAAGACCATTTTTCTTCCATGTACACGTCATAATTGGACACATTTATATGTCTTGAATTTTCTAAATTTAAATGCTTTCAATAGTGAAATGTATAGTATTATCTCACAATTACGATTATGTAGACAAAGTATTTCTGAAGAAAAAATGATTGAGAAAACTCTCTCTACATTTCCTCTTGTATTTGCTGTACTTGCACAACAATACAAGAACATGAAATTTCAGAGTCATTCTGATCTCTTGTCCTATCTACTTCTTGCGGAGAAGCAAAATGAGCTATTCTTGTGCAATGCAATATGTATATGTATATATATTTAATTTTACATCATCTATCTCAGTGAGTTGTGTTTCTCTCTGGCATCGACGATTGGGACATCTAGGATCCACATTATTTAGAAAGATCATTCCATGTATAACTGGGCACAATTTAAAGCCTACAGATGTAGACTCTATAGAATTATGTCGTACATGCATGCAAAGTAAAATGATTACTCGGCCTTCAATTTGGAAACTTCTACAAGAATTACCACCAATGCTTGAAAGATTGCATGGTAATATTTGTGGTCCTATTAATCCAATATCAAGACCATTTCGTTATTTTTTGGTCCTTGTTGATGCATCAGGTAAACAATCACATGTTTCATTATTATCAACTCGAAACATGGTGTTTGCCAATCTTATATCTTTGCTTATTCGCTTTTGGGCACATTTTCTTGATTATCCTATAAAAACATTGCATATGAATAATGCAAAAGAATTTGCATCAAAGTCTTTTGAAGACTATTGTATTGCAACAGGAATCAAGTTGACATATTTTGTTCCATATGAACATGCTCAAAATAGACTTACAAAGTCATTTATAAAGCGTATACAACTCATTACCCGGCTACTCCTCCTTCATGCAAATCTACCTGCATCTATGTGGGGTCATGCAGTTTTACATGCTATAGTATTAATACGCCTCCGCCCTTCTTCTCTTGAAATTGTTTCACCACATGAGCTCATTTTGGGTCGTGTTTCAAATGTATCTCACTTACGAGTATTTGATTTCCGTGCTTGGATTCCAATACCAAAACCTCAATGGCATACCATTGGAGCTCATCAACAAGAATGCATATATGTTGGTTTTGATTCACCAAGCATTATTCATATTGTTGATCTATCAACTGGCACATTATTATGTGCATGTTTGCAAAATTACCATTTTAAAGAAAATATATTCCCATCTTTTCAAGGAGGAGTATCCAATCAACAAAGAAATAAAGTACTCATATTTGAAGCACCAGAAACATTTACAATGAATCCCGATTCTAGGACATCTTTGACAGAAACTGAAGTTGCTAAGATTTTGCATTTAAAATGGATCGTAGATGAAACACTTGATGGCTTCAATGATGCACCTAGAATTACAAGAATTCCTATTAATGAAGCTTAGAATGCACTTGATCAGATTGCAGTGCCATTGACTACAATACCTCAAGTTATAACAACAACAACTAAAAGAACTCGTGGACCACATAAGCAACCACGTAAGAAGAAAGCTATAAAATTAACTAATCCAGGTATTATTTCTCAAGAAATTGCCACTCATCTTGCAGGACTACCAATTCATGATGATATATCCATGCATAATGTACCTTCAATTTCTATGAAAAAGAATCTTGGAATTAGAAGGAATAAGAACAAGTTGAGTAAAGAATTATCTATTTTGTATTGTGCTACAAAATTTGGGACAAACCATCTATTACGGTAGATGAATTATTTGCATATATGATTATAGAAGCTCTTTCTTCCAAGGAAGACGATTCTGAACCTCAAGCCATCGAAGAGGCAATGCGTCGCTCAGATTGGTCAAAATGAAAAACTGCTATTGAAGAGGAGTATGCCTCTTTGCGTAAGAGGAAAGTCTTTGGTCCAATTGTAGACACTCTTACATCTCGTCCTGTGGGATATAAAATGATATTAATATGCAAGCGAGATACTCAAGGCCAAATAATCCGCTATAAAGCTCATCTTGTTGTTCAAGGATTTACTCAAAAATTTGGCATTGATTATGAATCCACATATTTTCCAGTCATGGATTCAATTACATTTTGATATATTATTGGAATGACAGTTCATGCCACCTTTGAGATGCATTTCATGGATATAGTAACTGCATATCTATATGGTTCTCTTGATGCAAATATTTATATGAAAGTTCTACCTAGCTTAGAGACAGGAACTCCAAATCAACCCGCTCCAGGAAAATATCATGATATTAAATTATATAAGGCCTTGTATGGTTTAAAAAAATCCGGACGAATGTGGTATCAATGTCTTCGAGATTATTTATTTACAAATAATTTTATAAGTGATCTATTAATCCCTTGTTTGTTTATCAAACGAGATAAAACTGGTTTTGTGATCATCGCTATATATGTTGATGATCTTAACCTAGTGGGCACTACATCTGCATGTGTTATAGCTACAAACCTACTTATATGTGAATTTGAGATGAAAATGCTAAGAAAAATAACTTTCTGCATTGGTCTTCAGATTATGCATCTAATAGATGGTAGCATTTTTTTCTACCAACTAACATATATTAGACAAATCTTGCAAAGATTTAATATGATTGATGCTTATCCATTGTCTACACCAATGATTAGACGTGGTCGTGATGGTCATGATCCATACCGTCCATGCGAGGAGGAGGAAGAAATATTAGGAGACCAATATCCATACCTCATAGAGGTTGGAGCACTTTTGTATTTAGCTATATCTACAAGACCAAATATTACATTTGCAATAAGTGTTCTTGCAAGACATAGTGCATATCCAACACTACGACATTGAAATGACATCAAACATTTATTACGTTATTTAAAAGGTACTGAAGACTTAGGATTATACTACACAAAATCGTCGAATCCAAAATTAGTTGGATATTGTGATGCAGGATATAAATCTGATATTGCAACAGCTAAATCTCAAACAGGATATGTATTTTTAAGACATGGAGCTGTAATATCATGGAAATTAGTGAAACAAACAATAACTGTAACTTCATCCAAGCATGCAGAAATTATTACCTTACATGAAGCATCTCGAGAATGTATTTGGTTGCGATCAATTGATAAATTCATTCAAACAACCTGTGGATTTTCATATGATGATTCTCCAATTATTGTGCATGAAGATAATAGTACTTGTATTGCACAGATGCAAGTTGGTTTCATTAAAGGCGACAGGACAAAGCATATTGATCCAAAGTATTTTAGTTATACTCATGATTTGATTACTGATCAAGCACGTATAATTAAGAAAATTAAATCTACAAATAACCTTGCTGATTTCTTCACCAAAGCTCTCCCATTAAGCAACCATTGTCGATTTACTTATGGCATTGGTATGCTGCAACTTGCTTTTCTTGAATATGAAAGTTAATGAGCTCTTTAAATAATTAAAGAAAATGATATTGTACTCTTTTTTCTTCATCCATGGTTTTGTTCTTAAATAAAATAAGATTTTCCTAGATAAGGTTTTAATGAGGCAATAATTGTTGATCTTACAAGATCACAGAAAAGTATAGATTATAATTCTATACAAATTTTATATTATGTAAATATTATGATGAACGAGGAGGAGTGTTGAGATCATTAAATGTAGCCGGCACTCTCCATAATATTTATTGTAGACTACAATAATTACCATAGCTACAATATTTAGAGTCTAGTGGAGAAGTACTGTTTATCCTCTCCTCTTTTCTCTTCTTGTATACAAGACACAACCAGATCAATAGATTTGTGTGTGTGAAACTCTCTCTCCTTAGAAACCCTCTTGTGTGTATGACTTACTACTACTCTTGTGTGTATGTATGACTTACTATTACTCTTGTGTCTTTCTAAACATTCTTACCAATCATCACGCACGAGTTGGGGCAATCAAACTTGTAGCATTCTCTTAATAGTTAAGCATGGAAATGTATGTGCTGACATTATGATAAGCAATATTGCATCATATAGCTTCTCATATATATTGCATCATATTGCTTATCATAATGCAATATTGCTTATCATAATACACCATAATATTGCTATATGATGCAATTATGATAAGCAATATTGCATCATAATGGTTACACTTTGTGCTAATCCTCATGCAATAACCTTCATATCTGGGCGAAAGTAACATGAATGGATAACATCGCAATGATAAACACCAACAATTCGAGCACAGAAGGTACTGACCGTAATATAATCACACTACCTACCACAGCACATTTCCGAAGATAGAGCCCTAGGTTATTCTAGGTATTGCAATCCTGTCTATACAATGGATTCAGCTCGACCAGCCATGTTTGGTACTGTTGAAAATCATGTCATTACAATGTCGGTACAGACAGCCATCACGTCCTCGAGTAAGCATAGCCATTGGATAGAAAGGAGCATAGGGTAGGATCTTAGCTGTTGCCTGGATGCACGACGCCGACTTCGGATGAAGCTTCCTTCACATTATTTACAAAGAAAGAGGTGAATATGTAGATGAACAGAGCACATGATGATAGAAGGACCTCCGACGAAGTTTGTGCTCAGAAAATCCGTGTGAACGAGACCTACCATGGTCGTGATGGCATTTCACGAGACTTTTAAGAGCAACTTGACCCTCAAAAGCGGCGCAAACACTGGACGCGCATCGAACGGAGGCAACCCACCTTGTGACGTAGATGCTCTCCGGCCGAATCTTGCATTCCCTTCCGTAGTTGTCTAGGAATCGACCTAGCCCTTGGACACAGACAATGTGGACGTTCAAACTCTGGTTCCTCGGAGGTCCCGATTTTTCTTTGAGTTACCGCCCGATTGAGGATCTAAGAAGCCGATTCTGAAGTCCGGCAACTTGCTGTGTGCTCGTCCCGTAACATCCGTGTCCATTACCATGGTCCTTGTTCCATTCTTGGTAATGGTTTTTTCTATTTAATCCAGGTTAGCGGTGCTCAGGTTGCACACTTTTTTGTTTTTGTTTTTGTATTTCTTTGTTTTTTTTTTCATGCTTCATCTTGTGTTTTTCAAACCTGCAATTTGAAGATAAGCATCAGGGCTTCTGGCGTCGGCATACGTGTTTGAATATTACAGTAGTGCCAGTGCAGTTCAGGAAGATCGTTTCGTCCATTTTGTTTCATTCTGTGGGCGATTTGGGATTAGATTCTGCGGGCACGAGGAAGAATTCCGCAGCGGTGTTTATATTCACTTGCGGGTAGCACAAGACACCTTGGTGCATAGTTCTCTAACCTGCATATTCCGGCTTGTCTTTGATTTTGAGGTGCAGAGTTAAAACAGGCCTGGTTGTTGTGCAGTCTCCGTCTGATGGTGTTGCTCGCATGATCAGCTCTTCTACATGTGAGTGTGGGTGACTTTCTTTGTGGAAACATTGATTGTGGTTATTAGGAGATGGGTATCGTTGTGGTGTGCAGAGGGGAACCTGCTTCATTTTTGGGAACCAAGATACTAGCAACTAATTCGCGAGCAGTGAATTAAGTTGGCCACGATCATGCGTCACCCTCCTCATCCTTGATAACAGAGGGTGGTCTCATGCGATGCAATGTTTGATCTTCTTCGGGTGTTCTCGTGTGGGGCTAGGTTTTTTCAATGGGGTAGGTCGATGCCGTTGTAGAGCCCTCCGTGCTTATCTCTGGTGCTGTTAGGATGCTGACATTCCCATTTTGCACGCAGAACCTCGCAAAGAGCTGGCACAGTTTTTCTATCATCATGGTTGACTACTACGTTCTGTCATTAGCTTCGATCGATAGGTTGAATGGTTTGGTAGGTGGTGTTTGGCTGGAGTTAAACAAATCCCTCTGCAAGCACTTGAGTCAGGAGCTGCAAGAACATAAAAAATTCTTGACGAGGAACTCGGTCAAGCTCCGTTTCCGCCGTGATGGGAGCTCCAAGCAGCGCGTGGCAATGCGTAAGCTGTATGCCGTAATTAAGCAAGCCGAAATCTTGGTACAGCAGTGCTGCGGAAGGGACAAATCGGTTGATCCGACATGGCCACACTGGCTGAAGAGAGCACTCACTGTACGAGAAATCAAAGAAGATGTGTTTGATATCATTCTTCACCTTCGGTGGTGGACAGCGATCCTGGAAATCATAATTATTTCAAGCACGGATAAATCTCTTCCTCGAATGGGGAACGAGATCGGGTCGCAGAGCGGATCTTACAGTGAAGAGGAAAGCTTCATACTAGGAGCTTTGAAGTTTGCTGATGAAAAGTTTGAGAGAGATCGGGGTTTGATCAAAAAAGACCTCAAAGATGGAGCTAAAAAGGACAGGGACCATCTAATTATAAAGCTAAAAGATTTTCGAGAATCATTTTCTAGTGAACCTGAAACACATGGCCGCAACTTGTACCTAATCTCAGCGCAGCTACTCTATCTTCTGTCGGACATAGAAGCCCAGACTCAGACGGTCGATCGCGACTCAGATTTGAACAGGTTCAAGATCCTGAGAAACGTAGGACACGGTGGATCTGGAGTTGTAAGCGAAGTAGAATGGTGCGAATATGTATGTGCTCTGAAACAATTCCCGGCGGCGACGTCAACTGCTGACCGACGCGAATCTGAGAGCTTGAGAAGATTCCACCATCCTCACATCGTGAAATTTTTTCATGATTGGGAAGAGTTCCAACATTCTTATATTCTTATGGAGGCAATGCCCACAGATCTTGAGAAGCACATGGCAAATATGAAGAGCAGGAAGTCTGGTCCAAAGAGGAAACATTTGAACTCGTTAGAATCGCCGTTCTCCGTGCCTGTGGCGATTGATATCATGTTGCAGTTGGTGCGCGGTCTTTGTCACATGCACGAGCAAGACGTCATTCACAGAGATATTAAATTGAGAAATGTGCTTGTGAGACAAGTGCGAGAAGATGAGGTTTCAGAGCTCGCTTCTCTGGGTTATTTGCATGTGAAATTAGGAGACTTCGGTCTTGTGAGAGAGGAAATCAAATCATCTTATGAAGGGAAGATTTCATTAAAGGCTGGGACATCCCATTACCGCGCGCCAGAGTTGTCCGATGAGGAATACGTCAATGGGCCGAAGAAATATCCCAAAAAAGCCGACGTGTGGAGCTTCAGCATCATGGCAGCAGAAGTTCTGCGTGGGGAAGAGGCTTTCCCTGGAATTGCATCACTAGGTGGCCTTGTGGGACAACTGGAAGCAGGTCTGAGACCTATTTTACCAGTTGACTGTCCAGGTTATTTGAAGTCGTGTTTGGAGAAGTGCTGGAGGTTCGATTATAAAGATCGACCGAGATTCTCAGAAGTATGGAAGATGCTGAGACTTGCAGAGTTGCAAAGCCTGGGCATCGTGGACTCCATTCCGATGGAAGATCCACAACCACCGGAGAGGATCCCATCAAATGGATCACCAGGATTTTCTATTCAACCAGGGGATGTTCGTCAAGAAATAGCGAAACAATCGATGGAGTGGACCAAGTTATTGAGATACGTATTGAAGCTATTGAAGCTCAAATTCAGTAAGTTTGTGGTTTGATTTGTTTGCTCGTTACAAACTTTGTAATATATGTATGGGGGTTAAGGTTATTTGATATTTTGTAGGCTCTGAAGTTCCTTGATGGTAACCCGACGGAAATACTCACTGTGCAGGATTTGCGAAGGAGGAAGTCCCAGAAGGTATACTACAAGATCTGTGTCTCAATCCATAATCTCTACAAGATCGAGCGAGATTCTCAGAGATTTGTTCCATTTTGTCGGTATATGCTGAGGTTGTTGCAGATCTGCGTCAAAATGGCTTAGAGTATTCAACCGATTTTTCATTCGGGTGCAACTTGACATTGGATTTTCTGTGCAATAGATATTTTCTTCTTTTAGTGTTCTTACATAAGGTTGGGGATGCTCACGCTTGTTCCATGTTAAATGCCTGGGTTAAATTCTGCTTAGACTCATGTACACCAGAAACTTCCGAACCTTGATGTGACCGTCGGATATCTGGGGACTTAGAAGAGTAGGTTATTGCTGACGCTATTATACTATTGTTATTTCTGCAGGCTTGAGCATTCATTCTCAGTCGTTTCATCAAGCACCGTTTGTAAGCTAACTGATCTTTGTGCTTCCTGCATCGATTGACTTTCAATGCAGTGTAAATGCAGCGATGTTACTGGAAGAAATTCGAATTAGCTCAATACTGGACTATTTCAATACTGGACATTTTGTGAGATCAATTATGAACTTGGAGGCCTCCTGCATGCTGTTCTGTGTTGGTACTGACACGTCTTCCTTAAACAGTTTTTGATCTGCCTCTACAAGTTGAGTTAGGTCGCAACCTCACATGCATTTTCTGGCTTTTGACTTTGTGTACGCACAGGATGGGCTTGTCAATCGGGTTTGGCCCGAAGCATCTGCACTTGATTGGGAGTTGGATGTACTCTTCTTCGAAGGAAACGTAGGGAGCAGATCTCAATTGTCCTGTAGAGATACGTGGTTGCAGCGTAACCAACCAAATGTATTCTGGCCTCAAGAGTGGTTACCTAAAGATGTAAAAAGGAACATTCGTGTGTCGGTGCTGGACTATACTATCTCGTGGGAAACCAACGGTCTGAAAGAGCTTATAGAAGATATGAAGGACTATTGGCTTTTCAGGTTCGAAGCGGAGGACTTGTGGGATGCATTCTCATTGCAAGACTGCTGATGAAAATCTTGTCTGTTTTAAACGTGTGCTTGGAATTGAACGAAAATATTTTTGGAATGTCGTCCGCGACATTCGAAGATCCTGTTCTATTTATCGTAGCATATATTTCGATACTCTAACGTTTGGTCTCACAATCGTTTTCACTTCGCAGTGACACCTCAAACGAGAACCGCAACTGGCAGCGCCCGATTGTTCTTGTGGGACATAGTTTGGGATGCGCTGTCATTCAGGCCTTGGTCGTGAATCTCGCTGAAACTGCTGAAAAGCATCAGGATTCGGAGGATGAGACTGAGAAAAGGAAAGCTGAAATATCAAGAGCATTTCTGAATAGTTTGGCGGGGTTTTTCTTCTACGCTCCACCACATACAGGTCTGGTTCGAGATTACGAGATTCGGAAACATGTCTGGGGAGGGTTGATCAATTCGCGCCAAGTCTTAAAAAATCTTTATACAGGACCTCCGTGGCTGAATGAGCCATTTGGATGCTTTCTAGAGTTCATCAAAGCCAAAAATATATCACGAAGTCGTCAAATAAGGTGCACGGAGTTGAACGAAGGCCGTTACATGCAAAATGTGAGCACTTAATGTCTTCCGAATTTTTCTTGCTGCTATAGTTGTTGCGTCGCATGAACTGGCACATGGCCAGCTACAGTTGTCAGTTGTTTTGGCGCTTAGCATTGATGTTCAGCTTCTGCGTTATGTTCGATCTAAATGTCGGTTTTGGAAAATGATGTGCTGGTTGTTAAGACTGCAGCGGAAGAACATCACAAGTGTCACTCTGTGATTTGTGACGCTCGAGTACATGATTTGCTTGAAACGATTCCAATTCTCCGTTTCTTTGATATGTCTTAGCAGAAGATGGTGGTGCAGGACAGTAAAGTACCGATCGACGGATTCCAGTGTGAAATTATAAGTGATTCTAACCATATCGACATCTCCAAACCTGTGGATAGAAATCATGTAACTTATCAGAAACTTGTTGAGTTTCTGATGGAAATCGGTACTTCCTCTTATTACACCATTTGCTTTGTTTGTTTTTTTTTCCTTTTTTCCTTTTTTCCTTTGCTGTAAGCAGAATCACCCTCACAATCTGAGATGTGGAATAGAAATTGTTAAACGCTGCTTTAGTAGAGAGCTTTTGTTATCGATTTACCAAACTTGCGTAATTTACAGAACTTTCGGAGAAATCAGAAGGTTGATCTAGCTCACATAGGGACTGCTTTACGGCCCGTTGAAGTCGGCCAGGGCGTGCAAGTTACGTATCTGGACACATCATTGGGTCTATGAAACACGTTCGGCCGAGATATTCTGTTCCTGTAGACTTGCAGTCAACACTCTTGTGTACAGCAGATTGTGCTTCACTTCCCAGGTTCGTATATTCCAATTTCATTTACATTAAGTTCTATCATTTATCCCCTTGTTTTGAGCCTCTCCTCATCGCGTTTGTGACGTGTTGCAGAATGTCATGAACGAACGAATAGTTTTTGTATTGGTTCACGATTTTGTAGAGCATGTGAAGCTTACCATAATGTCTGATTTGGAACCAGATGTGCCTCACTCAACAGCTCGAGGAAGATGCGGAAGGCATGTGGCAGTGGCATTGTAGACAAGAATGGGAAGAATGTCTTCTACCAGCACCAAAAACATCAATAATCTTTCTAGAACCAGATTATGATTGAGCTCTTGTGTTACCGAAAACAGGAATGATCAGAATTGGGTTGGCAAGTTGATGCCTTGCGTTGAGGTTAAGGTTCAGTGGTGAGCAACACTTGGGCAAGTTATCTTTGCCAACAACCATCAAACCAGGAATTGTTCCTTGGCCAGTTGTGTATGCCCAGTGTATGTAATTTTTAGGACTTGTAATATATCAGTTCCATTTTTATCAGAAATGATGGGAAGAGAAGAAGAATTTTTACCTTTGATGTTGAAAACAAGTTTAAGTTTGCGAGGAAGCATTTAATTGAAATTGTGGTTCAGTGTAATGTGTCCACCTTCAGAGTTTGTCTTTATAAATAGGGAAAATGCTTGTGTGTGGCCTTATATTAAGTTTACAGCTATTCAAAAGTAAGAAACCATAATGAATATTCTGACATTTTATGGGTAGCAAATTTAAGATAGTCTATGTGTGTATATGTATGTACATACATGTATTTTGACAATACAATACTCAAGTTTCTAATTGTAATTATTAACATACGTTACAATTGTTGTTTATTATATATATGAATAAAAATTATTGTACTTGTAAAAAAATAAAGCAAAAAATCATACAAAAGTACAAAGTAAAAGTACAATACTATACAAGTACAAAATATTGTACTTGTAGGGTTTCTTTTAATAGGTAAAATGGCAAAAAGTACATTAAAATTACAAAATTATACTAAGATTTTCTTCCATGGCTGTTGTTTAGTAGTAAAAGTTTATTCTCCTTTTTAATAGGGATATTTAACATGAAACTTTATAACAGGTATATAATTGAATTACTAATGATTGTTCATTCATTGATTAAAAGTGTATGTTTTAATGTGAGCATGAGCAACAATGTTACACTATATTTAATATCAAATAATAACAATTATTGTTAAAAACTTCGGGTTTTAATTGATATATCTGATTTTGCAATTAAAGTCTTAGGACATGAAACATGTTATTTGAATATATATATATATATAGGGGAATATTGCATTGACCCAAGTAAAACTTAAATTGACCTTTCTTTACTCTTACAATCATGTTACAAGCCATGTATTCCTCACCAATCCAAAATGGTAGTCCTCCATCACCAGTCCCTCAATTTCACATCTCAGGAGTTTGTTTTTTCTCATTCACAATTCACAATTACACTGTGTGATCCCAATGAGTGTCCAATGAGTGGCCGGATTGATTGAGATTTTGTACTTTTTTTTTGTGGCTTGATTGAGCAAGGAGAGTGTAATGTTGGAGTAGATAAAATGGGCAGCGGTGGTCAAGACGTGTTACCAAATGATAAGAACAAAGTTGGTTAATTTTAAGATTTTCATAGGTCAATTCGATATTGTCTTATTTTATATATGAGCAAGAGAGATAGTGTGGGGTGGGGGCAGGATTCATTCATGGTTGAAGAGGTGCTAACAGGCGCTAACGTTACTCTTCTAACATCGCATTGTTCACTTTCGCAAAGAGTTTATTATTTTGTATTTGGTTTCAGCAATTTGATTGTATCGATGCACGCCTAATTGTTCGTCGAAATAAATGATGTAGAAATGTTGATTATCCTGTATTACCTGCTTCAATCCAGGTGCAGGTCACAGAGATCCAGCCAAATGGCAAGCAGCCTGTGGACATGCAGTCTTCCAAAGCGAGGAGTATGAATGGATATTGATATTGATATCGAACCCGTGTTGGGTTCCATGTTATTTTGAAGTTCATGTTAAGTGTTTAAAATATTCAAAATATGTTTTAAAATCAAACAAGGAAACAACAATGTCTATGAAATACAATTTTATTAAACAAGTACTAAGTTTGCTATTGGACTTTTCTACTCTATTAGTTTATCATCCATGCTTGTCTACAAACATAGATGTTAGGTAGTTGGCTTTGATTTTGTGAAAAATTCGATGATAAGCAATCAATTGTTGGAAGTCTTAGAAATGTTGATAGAAAAGATGCAAAGTTAAAGGTTTGGCATTTTAAGAAAAGAAGGAAAAATTATATATGAGCAATTAGATAGGATTGAGAGTTTGGAATTTATTTAAAAAGAAATTTTGCAAAGAGCCATTTGAAGTTTTTATTTATGTATCATTAAGCACCAACAATAACCTTTCAAATATTTAAAATTATCTATTTCAATTAGCATATATATATATATATATATAAGGTGAATAAAATATTATTATTGAATAATAAATATAATTAAATTTTTACATATAAAAATTTTGCAATCTTTTTAATATACACACACACACACACATACACACACACACACACACACATATATATATATATATATATATATTAAAGATAGTAGTATTTATTTGTATATAAGTAAATAAGATATTATATGTGTGTATATGTTTATCACATTAAAAAAAATGGTATTTATTTATATTTGTGTATTAATCGAAAGGACAATATATTTGTTATGCATATTTCTATTTAATAATTTCATGAAGATAATACTTATCTAATTCTTATTTTACTTAATTTAATCATTTGGATATTGAGTTGTAATATCTATACAAACATTGAAAAGAAGGCACCAATAGATGATTCAATTCATAATTTGTAAGAAAGAAATTCATAACTATATAGATATTATATCAAGAATTTTTGCAATATATTCTATAGAAATCATTTAGATAAAAGTGTGGCATTTAAAATGATAGAATTGTGCCATAAAGACAATAAAGGTATTAATCAAATAAATCCTTGATTTTATAACTTGCAAAAATTCATATAGATACAAATAATACTAACTTCATGGTTAATCACACATATTTTAATTTCTTGCATACTTCTACACCATTTTGGCAAAATAAAATAAAAAATTGAATGCAAAATGTAGTGAAAATAATATAAATGGTGCAACTTTACTTTAAATTTTTAAATTAGCATGCCATCCAAAAGGTTCAAAATTAGTATCTTTTTTACAATATTGTAGCATTGTAACATGGCTATTGAATAAATAAATAAATAAATAAATATATTTATATATACTATATTATTGAAGAGCTTATTTTAAAATATAATAAAAACTTTCTATAAAAATAAAATTAAATATTAAGTAGGTTATTAAAAAAATTAGTGCTTATGTTGTCTTTTGATTAAAAAAAGAAAAAAAGACAAAAAAAAAAATCTATTTACTTTGTAGAATCATAATTAAGACAATATAAAGTAAATTATCAAAAATAAGATTATATGCATCTTTACAAGAAAGTAAAAAATAACATTTAGTAAAAATGACTTAGAAAAATCTTTGATCAATATCCAAAGAGATTTAGTTATAAACTAAGGTTGAAACTAGACCTTAAGTCTTAAAACTTTGTATCTACAACAAATATAAGGTTTTTTCGATTATCAAAGAGCAAAAATTGAGAGAAGAGTTAACAAGATTTTCTTGTTTGTTATTTAAAATAAATTTAAATCTATAATATTTTTGTGAAAGCTTTAAAAAGTTATAATTTTTTTGAATGACTATGAATTCAACATAATTTTGAGAGATTTTTGTTTTTGTAAAATTTATATGTTTTTTAGCAAATCCACAAATAATATTTTATGAAATTAAAAATGTATTTTTATGAGATGTGTGTTGTAATATTGAGCTTATTTAAAAAATTAAATCAATAATAATTAAGATTTTAATGAATTAGAATCTCAAAAATTAGATTTAAAAGATTAGTAAAGATTATATTCTTTGACCAAATTCTTCTGCAATCAATTATCATACTTAGACTATATAATTGTTCTAGGAGATTTTAATGTGTAGCAAACAAAAATAGATGTTTTACACAAGATCTTAGTACAAATTATTGTTTCATGGCTTTAAGTTTTTTTTAGCTTGGAGAATTACTACAAATAATTTATCAAGAACTTTAGCTTGTATTCCAAGTTTTTTAATTATTTTTAAAAACAAGAATTAGCCGTGGACTTATTATTATGAGTAGTAGCATGCATTTGATATATTAAAGCAAAAAATAGATTCAATCCCAATGCTTTGATGTTTAGATACTACTAGACCTTTTTAATTGCATACAAATTTGAGCACAATAGGATTGAGAGCAAACTTGACACAAAAGATAATGTAATATAAGAATATGTTATTATATTTTTTTTTATTAAGATTACATTATTCCTTTCTCTTTATAAGACATAAACATATAAAAAGTTGTCAATTACCTACTTCTAAATTGATATTGTTTTAAAAAATTCTTTATTTTTGTAAAGATAAAATTTACTTCTTAGTCTAAATTTTAAATTAGCTTCAATTAAGAGTTGCTTGTAATTGGCGGTGTGAAATTAGAGAAGAAATTTAAAAAAAAAAAAAAAAAAAAAAAAAGTGAAATAAGTGCAATTCAGCAATTGCACACTAAAAAACTAGTTAGAATCTCTATATTAGATTTTTATCCAATAAAATATAAAATAAATAAATTAAACATACATTCTTTAATAATTTTTTTTTATTTATTTTTAATAATTTAGAAAAAAATTAAAGTTAAGTTGCTATAAGTGAATTATAATAGTTTAAATATAGAATATAAATAATAAAAAAATCAAATATATTTTTTACTTCAAACATAATTTACTTAAGATATCAAGAATTTGAGACTCAAAAGGCTCACAAGTAGTGCATATGGGTATTTTTGAGAGGCCAAGAGGCCTTAATTTATCCTCCTAGATATATATCCAAGGTATTGAAATTCATATGGAACTTGTACACTTCTCTTTTTGGAAGAATTAGAGTAGCAATTAGTTCTCCTATTTTCTACTAAAAAAATTAATATTTTATATTTTTGACTTTACTATTGTATTTAAAAAAAATCAACTAGCCTATGAAACTTATGTGAATTTTAAATCTTACTTCATTCCTTCGTAATGGTTCCCAAGGTGATAAAACTCATTTTCACCAAAGTCTTGAAAATTATTCTTAAAATCCGTATATAATTCTAAATAAAATTTGAATAAAACTTAAAATTTCATAAAATATTTATATAATACTAATATAAAATTAAAACTAGATATTCCTACCTTGGTAATTATTTATGTAAATAAAACTAATTTAAATCAATTATAAATCTTATATTTTATATAAATAACTAAAAAGACATATGATTCTTTTTTATGATTTTTTAAACTATTAACTAATATTTTTAGATTTTTAATAAATAACATATATAAATATAATATAAATTTAGATGTTAATTTTAATAACTAAACATTAATACTTAATAATAAGTAAAAATACTAAATCAACTAGGATAATTATTTCTAAGATTTATTAAGATTC